TGTCTCGTGAAACCCATTTTAGGCTCGGTTGAGCATTTTTCTTTAATAATTTCGGTACTTATGATGTGACGCTTTAGGTGGTTTGAGAGTTGTGCTTTCTCTATGCATAGTAATATTTACTCAGCTATTAATATTCTACTTTATATCTTCTGTATCGATAAACTGCCCTCATCTACATTACTACCTACCTATATTCGATCACATTGAAAATTCATAAATTCAAAGTACATGTTAAAAAAATAGTTATGAAAAAAGGATACTTTAACCTTCTAATACTATACATAAAAAGTAAAAGATTATTGAAATGACAAAAGTGCGTGGACTTTACCTACCTTGTTCGCACTTACGTGTCGTGTAAGTTATAAATTACTGTATTTGATTGAAAAAGAGGATAACAAAGGTGACTGTTTCTTCTGCCACTTCTTCTCAACATCAGCCTGTATGTTGTCCCAAAGTGGTGGTAGGGCAAGCTATATTTGGGACGTGTATAAGTGCCATGGAAAGGGCCTATGTACTGAATAAACTAATTTCAATAAAAATGTACGTAAAAAACTCATTTGTCCTGTTATTTCGGCCCTGTGAGGTACAGTAGATACGCAAATACGTCAAACGATCGAATGAGCACACGAAATTACCTACTCGTGTGAGAAAGCAAATCATTTTTATTTGATAATTTTCATAGTATAATTATTATTTAGCTCGTATCTTTGATGCTCCATTTATATTCAGAATGTTGTAATTTCTTCCTTTGCCGTCGAGAAACTCTGATACATGTATTAAATACGTATTAGTATTACATGTTTTGAATACCCTACTTCTCCAGAATCGGAGATTTTAGCTTCATTACGGTGTGTATAAATTAGGTCGGTACTTAATTTAATATTAGACATAAGTAATACCTACCTTATTATACACACTATATCTCTATGAATTTGATTACCTTGTCTAATAATTTCACAACTTGTTTCTTACTCCACGATATTATCTGTTTATCTGATCTTCTTCTTTTCGTGTCGACAACAAACCTACTATACAGTGTCAGCCCAAAACTCCGCTACAAGAGTGGCGTTGTCAGTAGCATTCTTTAAATCTTCCTGCGTGCAGTTGTTTGGGCACGCAAGGCACGACATCATGTGCTTCATGATGTTTTTCTGATGGGTTTCTAGGCGACATAGCTAATAGTGATCTGAAAGTCACAGTATAAAAAAAAAAAATCTTTGGACAATTTCACACAGCGCCAGCTAGCCCCAAAGTAAGCAACTTAATGCTTGTGTTATGGGTGCTAGCTTAACGGATAATAATATACTACTTATATACTTTTTTTTTTTAATACATAAATATTATAGTAATACATAGTCACACCCAGACCCGTCACAGAAATTAAAATTCATCATTTCAATTTCTGCCCGGCCGGGAATCGAACCCGGGACCTCTCGGCATAGTAGTCCGTTCTGAACCACTACACCAAACGGCCGACATTATGTTTACGTGTCTTATTTTTTAAATTAGGTATAATATCATTATTGTGTAAACCTACGTACCTAAATTTCAGTATTTATTTTACTAGAGTCTAATAACCTCAGTTTAAAGAAAACAAACAGTTTAAGCCCATAGAAAACAATTTTCCTCCTAAGTGGCCTCAGTTACCGCCATATTTAAAATCAAAATTAATTATTATTTCAAACAATATTTGTAACGGATAAAGGCTTCTCAACAAAAATTAATTACAAGTATCCATTAATTTTGCTAAACAAAGTACATAGCAATTTCGACCTGAAATTTGTTTCTGCTCAATATAATGCGATATTGTTTTATCCATTATTAAATTGGTGAATGAGGTCGAAAATCATTTTAATCTTACATTTATCGGACACTTTAGTGATACAATTAATACACTTAAAGTTTGGATCAATTTGACGCACATTTCTTCACACTCACTCTTTTATTGGGTGTAAGGGACAACACAAACTTAAAAGCTCGTTCAAAACAAAAAAAATCTGTGAAAACACCTCAATGTGTAAAAAACACAATAAACACTTAACAATAGATGATGTTAGTCCCATTCAAGTCATAGGATACGTTTAACTGACCACTTGAAGTTTTTTAAGACACAAAATAGTTTTTAGTTAGTCGCTTACTCACGTGGAAAGCCTTCCATGAATAAGTAATTTTATAAAGACTAAACCCTTTTATTTACTTATTGAATCCCTTATTTTTCAATAAATAAAGCATTTCTTAGATTATATTCCAAAACCTTTGTAATATTATAACGATGTCGTACGATTCAACAAAATACTTTTATATTCGTTTATCAAAATTACTTTTTTATTTTATTCGATAGAACGATCAGATTTAAGTTTTTTGCTGTAATCAGAAATAGATTCAGTATTTGAAAGGTATTTTTCTGATATTTCCAAAATTGAACTCTAATGACAGACGCTGACTGAGTATTTTAGATTCCCAAATTCGTATATTTTATTAAAAAATTGTTATATTCTAGTTTCTGAGGCCTTGTGATCCTTATCTTTATACTAGGGGAGACCGAGGTGAGTAGAGTTGTGACATTGTCGATGTTTTGGAACTTAGTTCAGGTCCCAATTTCGAACCAAGCCTCGATCATCCAAGAATTTGATGTCAAGCAGCGTCTTTCTTCCATCGTCCAAAGTCGTATTCTCACTTTCTTTATCCATATTACACGTGGAGACGTCGCTTCTGTTGAACGAATTTTCGTGCATGGGAAGGTTGAGGGCACAAGAGCGCGCGGCAGGTCGCCCGTGCGCTGGACTGACCAGGTCAAAACCGCACTCAATGGCCCACTCCACGAATGCACAAGAAAGGCTGCAGTGCGGGAGGAATGGCGACGGATTGTGAGGCTTGCTACCGGACCTGGTGTGACGACCACTCTGGCAAGAGTGTAGCGACGAAGAAGAAGAGTTCAAGTCCCAAGCTAACATATACGCGCTGTTGTGTGGTTGCGAATAATAGGTTTCCAAAAACCGACAACGTCACAACTCTCCTCTGTTACAACTCTCCTCGGTCTCCTCTACTCTATTAAAACCATAAGGGAAGGGGGCCATTTCCCAGTACATTAGAAAGCAAGGGGCAGACAATGTCTGTGCTTTCCTGAGATTAATTTGGAGCTTACACAAAGGGTGTGGTAATGGCTGCGATTATTGTACTGGATGTTTGTTCTCCTAATCTTTTTCTGCTAATATTGTAAGATTGTAGGGATGCGACATCTGGGATGGAATAAAGCTGGTGTCTTTATTCTATTAGTTGAGTAAACACACTACTAAGACAATCGTGTGAAAAATATGGCCAACATCTAGCGTATTTTTACGTACGCATTCACAAACGATGCTTGCTTAAGCAGCCAATCGAACGCACGGCGTTGAATAGAACTCTGTGATTGGTTCGTGTGTAACCCTGTGCGTCCATGCGCACTGTGAGACCTCATAGTAATGTTTGTGAATACGGTCGGGCGTATGTCTATGTTTTGAGTTCCATCGTTTGCCTCCCCCAAGGATTTCTATAACGACCGGTCCTACGCTGCCCGCATCCAGGTTCTTCTGGCAACCTTCACCAGATCGTCCAATGAAATTTTGTTTCTCTTGTAAAAATTAGTTTTAACAATTTTGCATAATCGATGCCAAATTACGAAGAAATTTTATCACGTTTTCCTATCTTCGAGCGAAATAGATTTTGTTTCGTAAATTATTCCTATTTTGCGACATCTCAAAGGATATCTTCAGACGATGCTTATTTAAATCGCTATTACCACATTTAGATAACGTCCTCGCACAAGAACTGGAATAGTCAATACTGAGACAGAACAAAACGACCTGTTCTTAGAAAACCAGGTCACAGTAGTTCGATAAAACCTCTAGCAAAGGACAAGTTATTTTTGCCTCGCAATTACTTCTTTGACAAGATGCGACTTCTCAAACTTTAAAATTTCATTTGTTATTGTTGAAAGTTTAACGTAAGGGTATTAAGGCTGAGTTACACCAACTTACTTTAACCGTGACTATAACTCTAACCGGTATTTTATGTATGGGCTTTGACAGATTTTTGACATGTTTAAAGTAAGATCTTATCAAATCAATCAAAAATGATATTAATAATTTATATTTAATTTTGACTAAAATAATAAAAATTTTATTGCGTTGCGCTCAAGACTCTATCAAACCGTTATGTAGCTTGTTTTGACCATTCAAATATACTCGTTCTCGTAATAAAGAAGTACCAATCGGTCGTTCTGTTTCGACTTTTCCCCAACACAAATAGCAATAGAAGGAATTTATTCACGACTGTAGCCTGGTATTTAAATTAGCCTCCACAAGGAAATGGGAATGCTAAATAGCTCGAATTAACAGTTGCATCGGAATAGTAGCTTTGAATTAGTTGGGTATTAACTTGTGAGCATCAACAAACGGTCTTGAATTACGGTGTATTCATGAGTTAATAATTAATATCAGCATTATAGTTCGTGCTATCGTGATAGGTAGGTATGGCAAATTGTTTTGAATGCTAGGTTTAGTTACGGTAACTTTCAAAATGACCGTAGGCCCAGTCTTGATAGTCACAATGAAGTAAACAATAAAAACTCAACTCAACTGAAAAATTAAGCTAACAATTTCGGTACAGAAAGATTTTCAGAGAAGACAAATATTTTCATTTCAATATGAACTGGAGTTATTTTGATGTAGGTACTGAACCATTGTCACTATTAAAACGGAGACGAATCTAACAACAGTTAAGCTTTTTAGGTACCAGAGCATTCCAAAGACATTCACACGAAACATCTCTCCTTCTGGCGCAGTCAGAAAAAAAAAGATAAAAATCATTCAATGACCAATATTTTATCTACATCTAGACACGCGGTAGCGTGTCAAGCCAAGTTCAAGCAAAGGAACTGGCTAGCCAGCGCCGAGTGTAATATTACACGAACCATTTGGTGCCACTTTTGTTTCTAACTAAACAAAACCCTTCTTTCCCAGGTCGGCTGGCTCCGAGCTGAAGACCAAACAGTCCTGTCCCTTCACGAGCGAGTGGTGCTCGGCCCTCGGTACTCCGTCAGCCTGGACTCTCCGAGCACCTGGCAGCTGAGGATCAGGCCTCTGAGGGCAGAGGACCGGGGCTGTTACATGTGCCAAATCAACACACAGCCCGTCATGAAGTGGCAGATTGGCTGCATCGATGTTTATGGTAAGTTTCTGGGTCTTCTTCTTTCGCCTCACCTAATCCTGTTACATGGGGTTGGCTTTCCCAATCATGTACCGCCATATTGCAGGCCATTGGATATCCGAGATGATCCAGTTTCTCGCAAAATGCAGTACTAAACGTTCTAACTTCTTGCTGAAGTAATTATAGTCATATTATTATCTTTTATCCTTAATAAATAAATTATAAATTATTGTTATTGTAATTTTATTTAGTCAACATTTAAAAGTTTACAGCTGCTAGTGTGATGAGTACCTAATGTATTTTTGATTTAGTTAATTTACATGTTTCAATTATAAAAGCTCACCACTCCAATCTAACAAAAGCAACTAAATATAGAAAATGTTTCTTAATCCCACTGCATTGCACGTATCCTTTATTCACAGTTATCCTGGATAATGGTGAGGATCCTAATTGAGTTAGCAAATTATACTTATTGAAATGTTTTGTTCAACGTTTGCGGTTCTCTCCTACAAGCAACGCTTTTGTTTTGAGTTTTTACTTCACAACTTCTGTTTGTTTTGGAATTCTGTGAGATTGCTGGCAATAACATTTCTAATAAAAGTGTGCAAAAGTTTTTTTTTTGTGAATGATTTTACTTCTTATTTTTAATATCGTCTGTGCTCTGTACCAAAAATATTCGTTGATATTCTTATCTTAATAGACACATTCTTATCATTAATAGCTACCATTTTAATTAAATCAAGTAAAAACTTATTAACATAATTTACATCGGAGATTTTTAAATCATCTAAATTCTTCATTGCTGTACAAAATATTTTTTCCATTGCACATTTAAATATAAATTTCCGAAATAAATGCTGAAACAAAGCTGGATATTTGGAACGTCATTAAAGTCCAAAGTAGCGTAAATGAAAATTTGAGTTGTCCCAGGTAACACTGAAAGGTGTAGCCGTAAAGAACTTAAGTAAATTACAGAGAAACAAACCGAATTCCAAACTTCCCCATGCGAATTCAACCGTAAACATTTTCAAAAGAAACTCCCAACGGGCGATTTCTTTAAACGCATAATACGCAAAAATATAAAAGAGGGGACTTAAGCTTATTAGGAATAGGAAACGGCTTCAAAACATCTCAAAGTACTTACGTCGAACTTAGAACAAAACTCAATATCAATGAAATGTCTCGAATGAAAACGGTGGAAAAGTATTTTTCCTTGGGAAAATAAATCACGTAAGAAAAGTTAGCTTTACCTCCTCGCGCCATTGGAGGTGAGAGCCAACTTTTATCGCCCAGTTCAAATTAGTTCGGGGCTATTCTTTTTTTCTTTTCATCTTTTGAAGTATGGATTTCAATATTGAATTTTTACTGTGTCTCTGAGGCATGTGGCTCGCAACTTTTCCTGGGAAATTTAATACGCCGTCACGTTGCAGAGTTATGCAATCTTTTGACGTGGAATGAAATTGACGAAATTGCCCTGGAATATTTCAAGATGTGGAACTCTTGTGGATTACTTGGGAAGGAATTGTGGGACCCTAACGACATGCGATTGCTTTCGCAACTCGAAATCTGTTGCAGCGTGAATTTTAAATTAGTGTGTTGAAGAAGCGTGTGTTGAAGTTTTTTATTTAGTACCGATGTTTATGAAAAATATCACTAATTTTCAATACCAATAAAAAGAGTCCAAGACAATTTCAAATTGAAAATATTTTTCGAGTTTCAATTTAAGTCATAATGTTAGTAATCCAGAAGCATACAATGCATATTAAAGGCCTACCTAGTAGATAGGTACTGTTATATGTTTTATCAATGATTGTGGATAGTTTGGATCTGCTTTCGGCATACCATCAAATAGAACTAATGCCCAACATTATACACAATACTACATCGAAGGTATACTGATTGCATGGCCAACTCCCAATACATCGGCAGATTAAGCTATTAATCCACCAGCCTCAATGCGGGCCATCACTTTGTGTTTGACCAGTGGCGGTCCTAATATCCACCGTAATCAACATCTCATTGTTATAAAATATTGATCTAATCATTTCAGCATTTGATTGAGATTTGTCTGATAAAGTGGATCTGTCAGATTTTCGAATTTTGAGGCAGCTGTGTATGAAAAGATCATATTTTTTTCGATTCATGTCTTTTTATTTGAAATTTTAATGAAGAAAAATAAACGTATTTTATACTTTAACTAAATGTTTAGGAATATAATATGCACAGTCTCTGAGTCGAATTAGGCTAGATTGTGATAGAGACAATAAAAANTTTACAGCTGCTAGTGTGATGAGTACCTAATGTATTTTTGATTAAGTTAATTTACATGTTTCAATTATAAAAGCTGTGGTACCACTCCAATCTAACAAAAGCAACTAATTATAGAAAATGTTTCTTAATCCCACTGCACTGCACGTATCCTTTATTCACAGTTATCCTGGATAATGGTGAGGATCCTAATTGAGTTAGCAAATTATACTTATTGAAATGTTTTGTTCAACGTTTGCGGTTCTCTCCTACAAGCAACGCGTTTGTTTTGAGTTTTTACTTCACAACTTCTGTTTGTTTTGGAATTCTGAGAGATTGCTGGCAATAACATTTCTAATAAAAGTGTGGTAGAGTCTGTGATAAAAATATCAACGTTATTCACCTTAATAGACACATTCTTATCATTAATAGCTACCATTTTAATTAAATGAAGTAAGGACTTAATATCATAAATCACATCAGAGATTTTTAAATCATCTAAATTCTTCGTTGCTGTACAAAATACATGTTCCATTGCACATTTAAATAGAAACTTCCGAAATAAATGCTATTAACAAAGCTATTTGAAACGTTATTAAAGTCCAAAGTAGCGCAAATGAAAATTTGAGTTGTCCCAGGTAACACTGAAAGGTGTGCCGTAAAGAACTTAAGTAAATTACAGAGAAACAAACCGAATTCCAAACTTCCCCATGCGAATTCAACCGTAAACATTTTCAAAAGAAACTCCCAATGGGCGATTTCTTTAAACGCATAATACGCAAAAATATAAAAGAGGGGACTTAAGCTTATTAGGAATAGGAGACGGCTTCAAAACATCTCAAAGTACTTACGTCGAACTTAGAACAAAACTCAATATCAATGAAATGTCTCGAATGAAAACGGTGGAAAAGTATTTTTCCTTGGGAAAATAAATCACGTAAGAAAAGTTAGCTTTACCTCCTCGCGCCATTGGAGGTGAGAGCCAACTTTTATCGCCCAGTTCAAATTAGTTCGGGGCTATTCTTTTTTTCTTTTCAACTTTTGAAGTATGGATTTCAATATTGAATTTTTACTATGTCTCTGAGGCATGTGGCTCGCAACTTTTCCTGGGAAATTTAATACGCCTTCACGTTGCAGAGTTATGCAATCTTTTGACGTGGAATGAAATTGACGAAATTGCCCTGGAATATTTCAAGATGTGGAACTCTTGCGGATTACTTGGGAAGGAATTGTGGGACCCTAACGACATGCGATTGCTTTCGCAACTCGAAATCTGTTGCAGCGTGAATTTTAAATTAGTATGTTGAAGAAGCGTGTGTTGAAGTTTTTTCTTTAGTACCTATGTTTATGAAAAATATCACTAATTTTCAATACCAATAAAAAGAGCCCAAGACAATTTCAAATTGAAAATATTTTTCGAGTTTCAATTTAAGTCATAGTGTTAGTAATCCTGAAGCATACAATGCATATTAAAGGCCTACCTAGATAGGTACTGTTATATGTTTTATCAATGATTGTGGATAGTTTGGATCTGCTTTCGGCATACCATCAAATAGAACTAATGCCCAACATTATACACAATACTACATCGAAGGTATACTGATTGCATGACCAACTCCCAATACATCGGCAGATTAAGCTATTAATCCACCAGCCTCAATGCGGGCCATCACTTTGTGTTTGACCAGTGGCGGTCCTAATATCCACCGTAATCAACATCTCATTGTTATAAAATATTGATCTAATCATTTCAGCATTTGATTGAGATTTGTCTGATAAAGTGGATCTGTCAGATTTTCGAATTTTGAGGCAGCTGTGTATGAAAAGATCATATTTTTTTCGATTCATGTCTTTTTATTTGAAATTTTAATGAAGAAAAATAAACGTATTTTATGCTTTAACTAAATGTTTAGGAATATAATATGCACAGTCTCTGAGTCGAATTAGGCTAGATTGTGATAGAGACAATAAAAAAACAAAATTACTCGTATCTCGAAGTGTATCAGCTGTCATGACAAAGTCAGACAAAGTGTTTGCTACAACGTTTTTTTATTTATTAGGTAGTATCAGGCCTGTTCATCTCCGCGAGTTTACATCGAAAACAAAACACGCACGATGGCCCACCTACAGGATACTATTCGACAAGGCCTCACATACGAGCGAACATTGACTCACGCACGCGTTTTCTTGTGTATGATGGAAGAAAATAAAGAAACTGGTGTACTAAATACTGTGCAGTATTTAACTGCCTAAATAATAATAAAAACACAGAATGTATTTTTTTAAGTTGCCTCAAGACACTGAGAGGTAAATAAGTAGTTAATATTATTCATGATAATTCATGCTAAATCATGTATTTCCTCCGCCATTTTCCGCAGTTTGGCACCTCACGTCACATAATTTTACCGAAGTCAGCCCTACAGCTTCGGCGCAGTGCCGATCACTGACATTTGTCAACAAAATGGTGCTTGACTCTTGAGACAGGCTAAATTACACCACATTGTTAATGACATTGAGCATAAATTTTTTTAAATACCTTCGCGAAGTAAAACTTCTGTACGTAGTACTTATTATTATTCTGTGGTAGTATTGTTAATTTTTATTGTTCAACAAAATCATTAGCGAAAGCAAATCTTCTTTTATTTATTTTTGTTTTTTTTTTCAATTTCTCATGTCACATCCAAAATAATATCAATGTATCTTATTCCCTTCATATTTCTTTATTGTTCCCAAAATTTGTCGATGCCACACTTTGTCGCAATATTATTTTAGATGACGCCCACTTTCTCGCAAGTTATTCTACGGGCACGGTTTACGACCGCTGGAGTGTATCGCCTCGTTTGTTCCCACAGTCGCACTCGTATTTACATAAACGCGTTCGGGAGTGCGCTGCCTTTTATTGCCTTTTAACTTTGCGCTCTTTTGCGCCACACTTGTCGGAGGGCTATCGGCAAAAACAACTGCTTTTGTATGAGTGGGTGGTGTGAAAGTGAGTATTTTTTGCAGATAGTAACTTTTTGCGTAGTAAAATAATTAAACCATAGTACTTTCAACTAGGCAGACATTAGGTACTAGTCCACGACAATCTAAAAGCCAAGCATGAATTGGTATTTGATAGTTTAATAAAACAAAAAAAAAACAGAAAATGATTTATTAAAAACTGTGTTTTTGTAAGATCTTGTACACAGTGTGAAATGCAGTAAAAGATGTGAGCATTGAGTATTGGACACAAGCCTCCTCCATATGGAAACCGTCATAAGGACAACCTAAAATATATTCCTTATCTTCAACAGTGCCCCCAGACATCAGCAACGAAGAGACTTCAACGGACGTGTCAGCCCAAGAACTGGACAACGTCACTCTCTCCTGCAAGGCTACCGGCCACCCTCCTCCCAAGATCACGTGGAGGAGAGAGGACCACGACCAGATGCTGCTGAAGAAAGTTGGCGGCAGAGATTTTTATAAAGGTAAGATCTTTTAACGTTATGATTTGATATTGATATTGATTTGACGACTTCATTATCATTATGATCACGTCATTTTAGAGTTAGAAGTAAGTTAAGGCCTATTCAAACCTGAGCGATATTCGCTACCGCTGTGGGTAGAGGTACATACCGCGCCGGTTTCGCTTAGGTATTTAGTATCAAGTATCGCGGCTAGAGCGACCTGAGCGATATTCGCTGCCGCTTTGGGTAGAGGTACATGGCAGACGGTAGCGAATACCGCTTAGGTCTGAACAGTATTATTACCGCATATCGACTGGGTTTTCTCTGTCGCAGACGGTAGTGAATACCGCTTAGGTCTGAATAGGCTTTTAGCCATTTCGAGATAAGACAGACAGTTGTGTGGTCAATGATTCCGGTTGATACTCGCTTCAAACTTTGGCCTGATCATCACTTTCTATCAGTATCTGAACTGAGCTAACCGTTGTGGATAAAAAATAGCTTGCACTGCAAGCAGACGACTCTCTTTAATTCACAAGAGGTAAATGGAAGTTTTGGCATGCACTATCTAGGCTGTCCAAACGGGTTGGGGATGCCTGATGATCGCATATTCCTCTTTAAGTCGCCTCTTTTGACATCACCGGAAAGAATGGGGGTGGTCTGTCTTATTCTACTCAGCTCAAGATTAACGTAAAAGTTAGCTATTTTTATAAATACTTCCACGTGTCTTCTAAATCCTAAAACTAAAATAACCATCTCCAAGAACTTTACATGTAAAACAACAGATTCACAAGGCTTAAACCCTTTCCCCCTATAATTGAACCCCGTCGCAATATCCATTCTTAGACGACTTCTATTTATAAACTACCTGCCGAATTTCAGCTTGGAAGGTCAAGTACTTTTCGAGATTCCGTGTTTAGTTAAGGAATTAATGAATTAACAACTTTTGACTATTTTGTGATGGCCAGTTTCATTTACGTTATAGTATTTTTTAAACTTTTTTGACGTCCTAAAAGCGTGTAATTATTATTTGTACTTAGTTAAGATTGTTCACTATAATTGAAAGAAAGCGAAGAAAGAAAATTAAAATAATTAAATTTGTATATTAATTTAGGCTGTTCTATTGCTAGGAAGCGACCATTTACAGACAATTCAATAAATCTTTTAACTCAATAATGGGTAACATAACTTTTTAGAGTAGGCGCACACCGTTGATTTTTCGTCGGCCGATAGTTTAGTCGGGCAGTTGATCAGTATGGGCATGTATGGGAGTGCGCACACTACGCCGATTCGATTTGGCCGATTCTTCATACTAATTAAAATCGGGCACAACTATCGGCCAACTAAAAATCAACGGTGTGCGCCTACTCTTACTGTCAAGGATCCTTCTGGTTAATTCCTGTAAACCAACATTTGACTTACCTATTTTAGTCTACTTTTCGTGGAAGGTGTTCTTATCTAGTAACTCGATAACGTATAACGTACTTATGTAGGTAGTCGAAAGGCAGGCTTTCGGACTGTTTCGATTTATCGATGGATTCTTATAAAAATTCTACTATCTGTATTTTTTATTTTACTTTTCTGCCACTGTGGCGCTAAATTGGAAAGGATCCCTCTCTTACAGTGGATATTAAATGAGCTGATGAAGATGATGAATTATCATTGTTTTGTCCAATGGAGAGCTACTTCGGCAGCTCTCTGCCACTAGCTATGGCGCTAAATTACAGAGGGTCGTCGTCTTGTAGTAGATACTAAATGAGCTGATAATGATTGTGATTGTTTTGCCCAGTTGAAATATACATCGGCAAATCTCTGCCTCTGTGGCGCTACATTAAAGAGGACCCTTCAGTAGATATTAAATGAGCTGATGATGATAATGTTTTTTATCCAGTGGAGCATTGGCAACTCCCTGCCTCTCTGGTCATCCTCTTGAATAAGGAACTAAATAAATGACTTTAATGATGATGTTTTTTTTGTCCAGTGGAGAGCTACATTGACACCTCCCTGCCTCTCTGGTCATCCTCTTGAAGAGGAGACTAAATAAATGACCTGATGATAATGATGATGATTGTTTTGTCCAGTGGAGAGCTACGTGGGCAGCTCCCTGCCCCTTTGGCGGGTGGACCGGCGGCAGATGGGCGCGTTCCTCTGCATCGCCTCCAACGACGTCCCTCCCGCCGTCAGCAAGCGGATCATACTGAATGTCAATTGTGAGTATCTATGCTAATGTTGGCTCCACATGTTGGCCCCAACATTGGCCTAATTTATCCAACATGTGGATCTACATAATAGTATTGGCACCAACGTTTGGGACAAGCTATTGTGTAGATCCACACGTGGGACTAGTGGCATTGGAAACAACTTTGAAGCCAATTTTACTAAGTATTATCTAAAGATCTAGATAACACTTTTGGATTCTATTTTCTACACAGCTGGGTGGCTAATGTCTTTTCTTTAGCCATGAAATTCTGGTAAAAATTGGTTTTACATCAAAGGGACTGGAGTTTTGACAGGTCATATAAGTATATTGTTAATAAATTGGTATTGGTAGTATCAACTACATGTCCACAATTTGATTCCCAAGTAAATAGTTTTTGTAAGGAGTTTATCCGACCTATAAAAATCTTAACGACTGGTACTACTTCTGTTACTGACTGATTTCATACAATTTTCGGTCAAAATGTAAAGACATGAAAATAAAATGCGCTTGGTCTGTAAATAATCCTCGCTTATTCCTAAGTGGTGTGAAAACAGAACACTCAACTCATATAATATTAAAAGAAAAAACATTAGAATGAACGCAAGAAAATATTTTATATCTCTAAGCTCAAGTTTCAATTTATAAATTGAAATACACCAACATCAAAATAACGGTTCTTCCCAATATTTTCTGTGAAAATACTTTTCAACAGTAAAACTCTTAGATGGTTTCAAATATTTTTCTGACGCAAATTGGCTTCGAATTCTTTTTGAAGGGGCAAAATTGATCGGAGTATAATAGTACCTTCGAGTCTTCGATCAAATAAAGGCTGGAATCGAATAAACTAGGCGTCTCACCTTTGACGGCCGTACAATTAGAGCATGATTCCTCTTACCAGCCTACGTATACTGAGGAAGGTGGTGCAAGTCATGAAAACAAGGTTTTGAATCCATGACTTTATCGTAAAACTTAGACCTAATATTAACCAGAAGGTAAACTGGATAAGTTTGTCCAATTTTAAAATTTTGACAATAAAGTATAAATAAATAAAAAATAACAAAATAAAAATAAAGTAAAATCCAAAATTTTATCGACATACTAAATTGAATCAAATTTTTTCCCGATAAGCAGATAAAGCAAAATTGGGGTTAAAAACTCTATACTTCTACTTTTATTTTTTAAGTTAGGAATACTAAATGGTTTTAGATAGTTGATAAGTCACCAAAAATGTTTTTCTGTTCAACGACCCACTCTCTAATTAGCTAATGGAACAGCCTACAGCATAAATAACAAAACTAATACCAACAAAAAAAATATATCAAATCGCCGTCACAAATCACTCCACAATAATCCCGCGTTATAATCCCATTCTTCACAATTTTCCCGGAAAATTTTCCCTCGAGCTCATCCCTTGAACCACTGCCCAGAGCTGTGATAAAGTCGAATTGATCTCCCTCTTGTAAGCCGTCCTTGCGTATAATTGACTCTTCCCTGTCATTGGCCACTCCCATAGCCGATATAAATGTAGGGATTGAATCCCGCACTGTCTTGATCCCGGGATTCAGATTCGTAGCTCACGGTAGCGGTGACGAAAGTCCCGGGGGAATTCTGCTAAAACTATTTGGATATTATTTTTTGCATGCAATAATATAGCGTAAAAATGAAATCATAGTAAGTATACCCTCTGTGGAGCCGAATCAGGTGGTATTCAATAGGTTTTTCTATGGAAGTAATATCGAAATGAGGTAGAAAAATTCGGTTTTCAAACGAAAATGTTTGCAACATCTAAATACTTTATTGTGAAACATACGAGTATATTTATTTGTTGACTTTGCTAGTTCCTGCTTGGTTATTGGTTGCTATTTTGACTTCCATTTTGTACATTGTATCGTATATCTATTATCTAGCTATCGTACAGCGAAAGAACGTCAAGATAATCACTGTAGCATCTATGTAGTTCTAATATGGGCGATTTTGCAACAAAATTGTAAAGCCTGATGTGCTCGCGTCCGTATATTGCTCCTTTCCTCTTGCGTAGGAGTCGGTTAGTATGGAAATAAAGTTTTAATTTATTCGTGCTATACTATCCTGCCTGTCAATAGATATTATATGTAGGTGTCACCAGTAAATTTAAGTTGATGATAATTTCATAATTTAACTTTTTTGCTACAATAAACATCTCATTATTATTATGTATATAGTTGTTTAGCCGTGTGGTGACGGCAGAGTAGAATACATTTGTCACCAACCCCTACTCTTCCCGCGGGTGTCGTAAGAGGCGACTTAGGGACTACACATCAAACAGAGAACGGGCAGCAGCGCTCTCTGACAAACATCAATCTTTTAAACTGCGATCTCCAACCCGCCTGCCAAGCGTGGAGATTATGGTAAAACCCTCCACTATAGTGGAGGAGGCTCATAGTCCAGTAGTGGACTGTAAAGGGCTGTTGATGATGATATAGTTGTTGCAATTCACGAAGGCGAGTGAGCTTTACATGTATGGTAGCCCGCTAATGTTTATTTTTCAAAAGTTTTGATAGATATTACACTATCGTTATGTGCATGTACACGTACACACACAAGAAAAGCTCACTCGCCTTCATGAGTTGCAAGAACTATACCTATATTTCCTAAAAATAAAGAGAAAAGCCCATTGATTGAAGCCACCGAAACAAAGAATATGAGACACAATATTGTGATATTCGGAAAATACATAGTAGGATAAATTCCGCTACTATATGCCTTCACAAAAGGGATCCAGGAATCTCAATTTGGGCGATTGCAGCCATAGTTATTCCCATAAATCATATAGAGAGTTTATAGCAATACATCAGAGGTTATATCTATCAGTTCCTTTGTTTACGGATATTACAAAGTTTATATGATTTTTGTCATCTCTAAAGCTTTTATTGCAATCTAAACTTTTTATAGGGGCATTATTGGGCATAAATTTAATGGTTTCCTATGGTCATTTTACGGTAAATCCATTCTTATCTTTTTCATATAACTTTTAAGCGTCACTTAAATATTTTATTCTATTAGATACCTGTTTCATTTTATACATTCTATAAGAAAGAATACATTAATATTAGAAATTAAAATTCTTTTTGCAAAGTGACTTTATTTGAATGTTTAAAGTAGGTAGGTACATATTTGATGTTTCAGAGTGCAACGATTTTATCGTAATTTAAAGTTTAATGTTATTAAAACTTTAAAAGCTAACGTTAACGGTTATCCCAACTCCCAACTAATATTATAAATGCGAAAGTAACTCTGTCTGTCTGTCTGTCTGTCTGTTACGCTTTCCCGCTTAAACCTCGCAACCGATTTTGATGAAATTTGGCATAGAGATAGTTTGAGTCCCGGGAAAGAACATAGGATAGTTTTTATATCCCTGTTTTTGAAACNATAAAATAAAGTTCAATTTACACTTACATCCAAAATCAAAGACAAGAATTGGAATCCCCTCCCACAGTCGAAACCCAGTGAAGAGTGCGGAGTGAATTACACGGACCATCGAATCCCGAATCTCCAATTCCGAATCCCGTCTGTGGGATGAATCCCAGTTTATCAGTACATTGCCTTCAGCGCACTAACCGCTAAGCAAATCCCCACTCATCGAATTGCCCGATTTTGCTAGAAATTTTACCCGATTTGCGGGTAATTTGAAAGTCCCATTTTAATGCATTCGGTGGATCCAATAATCATGATCTGTTGGTTAGTAGATTGGGTTTTTAAGCAATTTCTCTTTATTGGCCAGTTTTGGGGAAATTGCACGGCTCTGCCTGGATTGGATTAAGGTGGATTTTTGGCTCAAAATAATAAGAGAGCTTTGTAAAATTAAAACATCAGCATTCATTATGATTTCCAAATAATGTAGCAATCTTTTTTAGAAAATCTTTTCCTTATTTTTTATCTACTGGGTTGAGGATTTAACTATGATTATTGACCATCAAGACGCCTTGGTCCATTCTATAAAAATCTTCTGTGTTCCATCCTACGGATACCTACTGTATTAACAAAGAGTTTTCTGATCTAAGAATCTATACAAAGAAGGACTTACCAAACAACTCCCAAAGAATAAAAATTCTTAAGACCCGTCTAGACTTGATTACTTTTCAACCCATTTAATTCGTCTTTCAAATTTCAGTATTTCGCTCCCTTTTCGCTTTGTAGTCGTATTACCACCGTTACATTCTCTGCCTTACATTAATTGCCATTTATGTAAATCGATTTCGAAACGATACGAATAATCGATACGTAGACAATCGAGTGTTATGTAATGGCTTGGATAAATGTTAACGTTTAAAAGCGACGTTCAACTGTTACTTTTCGATTTTGATTCCTTTTCTTTCTCTGAAAAGAAAATCCGAATAAGTAAAAACGTGCTTTAAAAAATCACTGCCTCGAATGTTTACAAAAAAACGGAAAGAATTGTATTTTTTCATTCTTTGAAGAACAATAAAAAGGAAGAATATTTTAAGTACGCATTTTTTTTACATACGTAACTTACTTTGCTTGACAGTTAAAATTAATGCATCATATTGAGGTATATTTTTATTAGAAACAAATATAGCACCATCCTAACCACTCATAGGATCCCAGATGAAGAAACTTGTATTGCATTTCTGTAGGCAAAATGCTGGCTGGGTCTTTATAGCTTACAATGAAAAAAAAATCTTTAAAATTAAAAAACACATGCTCACGTCATCATTAAACACAGGAATACCAGAGCGCGAAAAATTTAAATTCCATTACCAGCCATCACCGGGGAACCAGACGCAGGTTAGCGTAACATCCTAGTCTGCATCCCACTTAACACCAGGTGCGATTGTGGTCAAATAATCTGCCTTGTTAAGCATTAAAAAATGTCAGTGTTAAAATTACTTTTTTTAGTTCTTTCAACGCTGTTTTTTTTCGCAGTCCCACCAACGGTGATAGTGCCAAACCAGCTGTTAGGAGCGCCGCTTGGAACCGATGTGGTGCTAGAATGCACCGTAGAAGCATACCCCAACACCATCAACTACTGGGTCAAGAACCGTGGCGAGATGCTGCTAGATGGGTAACGATTTACTTCTAAATTATTATCTTGTTTCTTATGCAGGGATAGGAACTATGGGACAGATATAAATGGTGAACTAATATCAGCAGCTCCGATTCAATATTATAATTGTCTGTATTTACTAAAACTGAACCAAGTAAACTTCAATCCCTTGATGCTTTGTCGAATTTTTTTTCTTTATTCAAAGCAGTATGGTTGATTCTGATTAAAATATATTGTTTTAAACTTTCATTGTCACTAACATAATTATTATTACTGACGGGATTGCTACCATGTACCTTAATTTTGAGTTTCCGATATTAGCACTGTTACACATGGCACAATCCCGTCAGTAATAACAATACTGATTAAAAGTAGTCCTGCTTTTATAAATAAATCGAAATAATAAACAGTGAATGATTACTATCACACTAAAAGCGAGCAGAATTTCAAGAAATTAGTTGAATTTATCACTCAAAGAGAATCAAATGAAATTCAGGCCAGTCTTATCAAGGGACACTTAGAGAATTGAATTTGTCTTCAGTTTATCATGATCCACCTCTTGCAGGCCAAAGTACATAATAAGCGAAGAGAGGTCATCCTACAAGGTGATGATGAAGCTGACCATCAAGCAGTTCTCGAAGCACGACATCGGGACCTACAACTGCGTCAGCACCAACTCCTTAGGGAAGAGCGAAGGGACCTTGAGGCTTTATGGTAAGTTATTATGGTGATTGTTTTCTATAAAGATTTTCTCCTCATGATCCTGGTGCAAAAGAACCCCTGGCCCACCATGGCGGGTTACGGCCTTTTTTTTTCGTCAGGAAGTGCGTGACAGGCAAACAACTTACACGACTGTTCTGCTTGATGGTACAGTTATTTTGACTATTCTTTTTTTTTTTCTTATGAGTTTTTTTTCTCTTCTTTTAAGTTTAGATACTATCCTGAATTAAATAAATATTAGATTATATTTTCTGGCCTGTAAGTAACAAATAACAAATTTTAAAGGCACGAGTTTGAGAAACAATTAAGACTGTCCATGTCAGCTACTTTGATGAGCTATTAGGGAAATCCCAAAGTTATATCTCTCAAAAGAGATGATTTAATTAATTTTCCGTAATTACGTTTCAATTTTAACTAAGCTAATTTATGTATAAGGCCCATTATTGAACCTTTTGGAGGAATATATTATTTTTTGATAGACAGTAAAAACTGAAAAATAATCAAGACTGTCCGTGGAGTTATTTTGATGAGCATTAGATTACATAAACATTTTATTTACGTACCAGTATTTCCCAAAAAGTAAAAATGGCCCAAGCTTTAGTAAGACAGGAACTTGCGAAAAAAGACAAAAAAACATTAATCAAGAAGTTGTAGTCCCAAATGAATAACGATCTTCAATTTTATAATCTATTTTTCAGAAATAAAGCTGTACCCAAGCTCTCAGTCGGCCGCAGAAGTGAATGTAGGTGGTGAGTAATTAAGATTTAATCCATAACATAGCAAATAGGACCACTGCTTATTTTAATGTCACAGTCGGTTCAGAAGCTACGATAGCCGAACAGTGAAAGGGTCGGACTGACCGACTCGATATCCGAGGAGCGCTCAGAGTACATATAGATCGCTTCATCCACGAAGACGCACCCCACTATTCTTCCGCTAATGTTTGAGTGTTATCGGTACACGCTAAATTATCCATGAGTGCACACGCACACTACAATAATGACGCTCGGATTGCTCAGATCAAACTCCCCGCACCCCGCGCTTCCCTTGACCAAAAATTGGTGGGGCGCGTCTTCGTGGATGAAACGATCTATAAATTGGCATATTCTACAATGGTTGTAGACATACGGCAAATGTGAACAGCATCGTACTATGTCATATACTAGCAAGATACGATACGATAAGTTTGACGTTCGTGTGCACTGGCAAAACACCCAACAATGTCTGGCAAAGCTGATAAAAAAAAATGTCAATATGACATTTTATCGAACCTAATTACTTATCGATACTGTTAAACTAGAATGTTAATAAACTTTCTGTAAATAAGATTGAGCCAAGATAACCCCAACTGAGAATAGTGTTGTTCTTTTATTTATTTATCAGATTTTATAATTACATAGGTACAGTTGAAAGTCTTTTTTATCTTCAAGGAGGTAGCTCCTGGCCAGCATTTCCCCTGAGGGTAACATCTAAAAACATCTAAAAAACAGGGAGATTAGACTTTAACACTGATGTGTCGAACCTTCTGCGTCTTTCTTCTTCATATTCAAGCCTTGAAAGGATTAACTTAATTATAAATGAGGCCAAACACAACCGTCAAATATCCGAACTATGCTATTTTGTGGAACTGTTAGAGGAATAGTTTTAATGGCCGTTCTAAGCCCACATACACGGTCTTTGTGAGTAACAACCAAACTTCTATAAGGGTTTGCACCATTCCAGTTAATTTATTATTGAATCTTCTAAGATTACGGTTCTACGAAATCTTTGTTGGTTGTGCCCATTCTACAAAGTAATTATTGTTATTTGCAGTACTATTGTTATGATGTTATTATTATAGGTGTACCAGAATCTCATGGCAAACAAAAATATTGGAAAAGTGTGTTTTTCATATGGCCATTGTCTATGGCTTTACTGTCACCTGTCAAAGTAAATCAAGAGATCTGTCAGCCGCTGCAGAAATTTTGTAATCTCTTCATGCCTATTTGTTATTTTTGTGAAAAAGTCGAAAAAGCTCAAGCAAATCATATTGTTTTCAATGTGTATTGTAAAATAGGGCTTAATTCAAACTCAATCTTTGATTTTAAAGCGCGTCGTTGAGTTGACAGTAAGTTGGAGTGAAATGTTTTGATACATTTAGTTTATTACCTAACTGCGTCAGAAGGAGGGTGGGTTATGTTTATTTTTAAATTATTCTTACCTAATAGCTGCTTTATCGGGGTTTTCAGGTGTTTTATTTTCATACATTGGTGCAGACGAATAGTGAAAAAGTTATGACCATGTAAAGAAAATTGAAAAAGATTTCATCAAGCAAGTTTGAGTAATTGAAATGCTGAAAGAGCGATTTATATTATACAGGGTGGAATTACATTCTGTATTTTTATTACATCGATCGTTAGGGTTAAGTATAAGGATGAAATCTCTCTAACAAACTTGATAAATCAAATGAAAGGAAAACCATGAAATCTTAAATTATTTTGATAATGTTACAGAAAATTTTATTGTATGGTATAGTAATGAATTTTCGAAAAAAAATCGAAATTCTTTGAATGCAGTTCTCTATTTTTTTTTTCAAAAATTAAGGAATGTTTTCTTTCAGTAAAATTTTCTATCTACAGTATTAAGAGTACTTTCCCTCCAGGTGGCATTTTCCACCCTGTATAATAAACCTCTTTAACTTGATCATCTATTGAAGAACAAGAAATGCAAGTGGAGTTCTTAGAATCGTTTTCTAGTTCTGAATGAAGTGATAAGTTATAAGTATACAGATAAGATATAAAATGTATAGGTAGCCATTCGTACTTCATGTTCATTAATATTAAAGTCATAAATAAAAAATTAAAAAGTATCAAGATCGTTTAATCCAATTTCCCCAGTATTGCACTCAACAAAGTTTATTTTCCCCATTTGCCATGAGATTCTGGTACACCTATAGTTATGACTCTTAGGCTGAGTTTAGCTTACTTTGACATTTTTCACAAATGTCAAAAATCAATCAAACTCCATACAAAATCACCAGTTATCGTTAAAGTTACGATCAAAGTTAGGTGGTGAAACTCAGCCTTACCTTATAATTGTTGTTTTTTATAAGCAGAAGACAAATATTGAGAGAAACATGAGGATTCTTCTTCGTTCATCTATAAATTTATAGCCTACTGACATGTACTACTTGCTAGCGATATGTAGGTACTTAATAAATATTTGACAGTCTTACACCGTGTGGTCTTACTCATCTTCATTTAGTACGTCTTAAAATTTTTGATATGGTAGGCCATACAAGAGTTTTTCGTGGCGCATTTGTCACTTACCTAAACTAAATTAAATAATTTTATACTGTCCATCCATGTGTTAATAACTTAAGCTTCAACCACACCAACGCGTGCAGATCGCCATCGCAGCGCGATCATAGGCGAATGACATGTCGCGCGACCCATGACAGTTGGCGCGACCTGTCATTGGCCTATGATCGCGCCGGCGATGGCGATCGCGTTGGCAAGGTTGAAGCTCACCGCGCGCATATTTTTTTATTATTTATTTTCCATATAAATACACACAGTAAACATTAATATTTTCTGCCAAACTGTGACACAGTTTGTCGGCAGCAGTTCTCACAATACTGTTATTACATAGCCTCTAAATAACACTTAGGTTGAATTGCACCACCCCACCCCAATCGCGACCACAACAACCGGTGCTTTCTATATGGAGTTTGACAGACCCTTGACGTTTGTTAAAGTTAAAGTAAGATGGTACAACCCACCCCAAGGCCTTTTTTCTTACTGATAAAATGGTGACCGCCGCTGACTTTTTACACTAAATAAATCTTAATGTTAATCACAAACATAAGACCAATGTTTAAACCAAAACATTTTGTAAACATGCACTCACACTCGCATACACATACACACATACACATAGGTACACACTACACAATGTCATGTCATGCACTCACATTACTCGCCATCGCCGGTGCGTTCATAGGCCAATGAGAGTTCGCGCCAACTGTCATGGGTCGCGCGTGGTAGCGAGTATGGACCTTTTTAAAAATACATTTCTTTTACAGGTCTTACAGAAGGTGCTGTGAAACAGAAGCCAGCTTCAAGTGACTCAAGCGAGGTGTTTTCCAGAACACTCTATCTTTTAACACTCGTTATCGTAGCCGTTGTTAAATTAGAGGTAATGTAAATAAAATTAAATGTTTCAAATGAAAGACTGTATATAAATGAAGTCAATAACGTTACTGTAGTTATATTTAAGTAATTTTTCGTGACTGAATATAAAGCTTAGTAATAAAGAAAAATTTCGTAAGTCTGAGGCTGAGTTGCACCACCTAACTTTGACCGTAACTATATCGATAACCGGTGTTTTTTGTATGGAGTTTGACAGATTTTTGACGTTTGTCAAAGTAAAAGTAAGACGGGGCAACCCAGCTTTACATACATACGTTCCAAATATAGGTGTTACAAAATAGTGGTGTAAATATTCCCTTTGTTTTGTTGCTTGGTGTTTCATTGCTCAATCATATCAATGTATTCAAATGAAGGTTAAGATTGTAAATATCATGTAAAGTTAAGTATTTGTTACGTAGAGTAATTATAATGTTGTGTATTTAAACAAACTGAAGGAATGTAAAAGAGTAATTTTGTGAACATATTTCCATTTTCTTTATTTTCGTTTGCAAGTATGAATTTGCTAAGGAGAATGAAGAAAATGATAAGTATGTGTTAATCAAACTAAAGCGAATGTGTAGTGTATGAATTACATCATCAATCATCATCAATTGATCCTTCAGTCTCTACAATTAGGAGCAAATTGAAAATGTATTCATAACAAACCCAAATCATCATCATCATCTCAGCCATACGACGTCCACTGCTGAACATAGGCCTCCCCCAATGACTTCCACATCGCATCCAGCACCTTCCTGCTACGCCTTTATCAGGTCGTCGATCCATCTTGTAGGTGGACCCAAATCAATTATTGTGTTATAGTTAATGACGGTAGATCAACTTATTTTTAACCAAAAAAACTTTTCCGTATATTTTTCGGTGACCCATCCCATTCGGGTTTTAATTCCAATAAATATTTTGTATGGAGCGTGGCTTCTATGATTTCTTTAGCACCCGTTTCCGCCAGATAAACTCTTCGCTTTGAAATGACTGTTTGTATACTTTCAGCCTGTATACAGGGTGACTTTGAAAATAATCATTGGCATCCTTTTAATATAAGCCTCTACTCCTGATACATAGTCCATTCTCCAAATATGAGACAAATCGAATAAGATTTTTGACATTATTTTTACTATGTATTTGTATTAGTGTGCTCTTTTTGAACCCTGGCTCTTTTATAGAGTTTAACTATTTTACAGCAACAGCACATCAGCCTATACATTTTATTGCAAAATAACACTTAATACATCGGAATAAAATGTCACAGTAATAAGATTGATGTACAAGATTTTAAATTTAGAAATTTTAGCTCCAACTCATTTGGGGAATATACTACGTAATAATATTATTATGTATCATGAGTAGAATCTTATTTAAAACGGATGCCATCGATTTCTAAGTCACCCTGTATAACGACTTCAGCCACGTTCAGGCTATCCCGCGTGTCTTTGGGCGTTATTTGCTAAACATTCGGTTTCTGAATATGTTTTCAAAGCATTATTTGTTCTGTACAGTACGTTTGTTGAATGTAAATATGTTGTTTAGTTATTTGCTAAATATGTCGCAATTGATGTACCTAAATGTAAGAGTTTTTGTTAACATTTTACAATGAAATATATTATTTGAAAAATATTTGCTGTTAATTTATTACAATACCGGTGAAAACTATCAACCTACTGCAAAATTTTAAACTCAAGTGCAGGTAGGTAAGTAAAGTTCAAAATATCAAGAGTAAAAAAAAATGATAGCATGGTCTTTTCTCAATTTTATTTAAATTAACCACTATTAAGAGGACTGGGTAGGTACTTACTATTGGGGAAGAAACTGCCTTATTTTTTTTACATAGGGAAAAATAATACCCACTTTGCCAGTCTTAAGACCCTTTTTACCCAATTTTCAGTACAATTACCCGTTAATCTTTCCCCAATTTGTATCTTTACATCAAAGAAATAAAATGCCTTGTTCTAAAAAAGGGGTTAATTACATAAAATAATTATAAAATATCTCGAGCAAACAAGTTAACTTTCTTGCGAAAATATTTATTCCCCTTTTAACGTGGCCTGTAAAATGTTTGAGTTACACCCAAACCCTCCGGCGAAGTTAGGGTTACCATATGAAAATTTTCAAGAGACTGAAAAAAGTCCAGCCTTAAATATTAATGATATTTTTAGCGCAAATATTTTTTGATTGGTTGAGTAGGTGACTTGCGCTGCTTCTTCTCACTACTGGCCCGTTTTTAAAAGTGGGGATAAATTGTCATTTTTAATTCAGTTGCGTCGGAGCTGTGAACGAAAGAGGACGTGTTATTGGCTGTTTCTGGTGTTGTAAGCCGTAAGAACCAATTTACTTTTAGTTTATTGGTGACTGAATATCGACTGGTGGCGAAACTCACTTTTCGCCAGTCTCTTGCTTGACTACTCTATTCTTACCAATATTATGTAATGTAAATCTTATGATCCAAAATGTATTAGAAAAAAATAATAAAGCCGGACATAATAAACCGGAAAGATTCGGACGCGTGGTTACCCTCCATTGTAACCCCGTTT